CTGATTTTAGGTAAAAGTTGCTCTTTTTTAAATAAAAAATTCAATATTTACATACATGAGTTAATTTTGTGAGTTTGCTTGCTAGCAAATTTTATGAGTTTGCTTGCAAGCAAATTTTATGTGACACACTCAGGTAGCAGATTGCAAAATGGTAGATCTCTAAGTGAATCTGTGATTCTGTGAGCAACTCAATCTGCTTGCCAGCTTTGCCTGATTTTAGGTAAAAATTGCTCTTTTTTAAATAAAAAATTAAATATTTACATGAATACTTACAATATTTACATACACGCCATGCCCAGCCAGTCATGTGACCACCAAGCCACACCCAGTCAGCAAACCGTGCCCACCCGGCCACATGACCATCAAGCCACATCCACAAATTAGGCCACGCCCACAGAACCGGTTGTTAAGAAATTTGAATCCCACCCCTGGCTGTAGCTATATTATTTATCCTTTTTATTAGATTCTTTCCTCCCCCTTTTTATTGGTATGATTATGATGATGAAGATGATTATGATTATTCTGTTGCTTTGCATGTATACTGAGAGGTTCTGCACCAGAGACAAATTTCTTGTGTGTCTAATCACACTTGGCCAAATAAAGTAATCAATTCAATTCAAAATCACAAAGGCAGCTGAGTCATTTAGGGTAACTCTCCTATTTCCTTTATACATATACATATACATACATACATGTGTGAGCGTGTGTCTGTGTCTGTGTGTATGGATGGTTTGGGAGGCATAGGGCGTGGGAGACCAGACTGTCTCTATCGTTCTGCTTTTTCCTAAATTAGGAAGGCCAATAGAATTATACCATTTCCAGAACTGCCGTGTGATATTATGCATTTCTATCAGACTAGCAGCACAACAGTATCTGGCTCTTTAGCAGCAAAATTAAGTTAAACAGTGACTGGGAGAAAAGTAGTATATTCTGGAATGAGCAATAAATACCACTCTGATGCCATCTGGATTTAAAGGGGAAAAGACTAGCATTGCTAATACTAAGGATGGCTGATAGGCTGGGAATGAGATGAACACAATGCCATAAGGACATGGGAGCAAAAATGTTGCCAGTTATGATTTACAGGTACCAGACAAACACCTGAAAGCCAAGGTTTTTATTTATTCATTTATTAAGAAATTTTATATGACCACCAAACATGTGGTGATATTTGTATCTCAACCAATGTCTCAGCAAATCTCAGGCTGACTTAGAAAACCAACAAGGGTTGGCCTAGTTTAGTACTTCAGTGAGATACCACCAGTGGATTTCAGAGCTTTAGGTTAGACTGGGAAATGAAAACAAGAAGCCCAGAAGAAGACCATTCATTTTGACGAGTTACATAGCATAGAGATATATAACTAAGATATACATCTGGTTACACCTACAGTGATACATAACTCAATGCCTGCTCCCATCAGGAAATCCAAAAAAATAAGGTGTATCTCTCATGCAGATTCTTTTAGAGTGGGTGGCCATTATGAAGTTAATTAATCATGATAATAATTTCTCTTGTTAAACTGTTGAGCCAGTGTTAAACACTCCATAGCTAAAGCTTCCTTGGCAGGCTACAAGATGACCCTGAGAGGCACAGGAGACCTATTTTAAAATATTAAATTTGTTCAGGTTGCTAATTAAAGTACTGCTGCAAATTTAAGATAATAATAAATTAATCTGTAATGGGGGGGATGGTCAAAGGCAGGGGTGGGATTCCACCAGTTCGCACCTATTCGCTAGAACCGGTTGTTAACATTCTAAGCAGTTCGGAGAACCAGTTGTTAGAAGAAATTACTGGCCTAATCCTGTAAGGAAGGCAGGAAGGAAACATTCTGGTGTTGCTTACAGAAACTTCCTCTCCATTAACCTTTATTACATTCTTGGCAGGACTAGACTTCCTGTCTCAGTAATGTCTAGAGTTTTTTTCCCTTCCTTTTCCAGTACTTTGCTTGTGTGGAGTGACCATTCAAAGTTACAATGGCATTGAAAAAAGTGACTTATGACCCTTTTTCACACTTATGACTGTTGCAGCATCCCCACAGTCATGAGAGGCCAGGTGAGGAGAAGCGCGCCTCAATGTGAGTGATATTGAGTTGGCCACGCCCAGCCAATACCATGACCACCAAGCCATGTCGACCCAGTCACATGACCACCAACCCATGCCCACCACCTAAGCCACGCCCACAGAACTGGTTGTTAAAAAAATTGAATCCCACCCCTGGTCAGAGGTGAAGGCTCATACAGCTCAGATTAATGTTCTATACCAGGGGTCTTCAAACTCAACAGCTTTAAGACTTGTGGATGTCAACTCCCAGAATTCCTCCCCCAGTCATGGTAGCTCGGGAATTCTGGGAGTTGAAGTCCACAAGTCTTAAACTTGCCAAGTTTGAAGACCCTTGTTCTATACTCTTTGTTATGGGATTAATGTAACTTTTCCTCTTTGTTGATGCTTTATTTTTTGAATATAATTAGTTTTAATTTTCAAGGTTGTGAGGCTGCTGCATTTGTGTACGTTATATTTCACTAGTTAATGACTGTAAATAAAAATACCACAAGTAGGAAATCAGAATATTTCCAGCAGACAACTACCCAACCTCTCCCTCAAGATTTTTAGCAAGAGGGAACCAAAGCAAGTAACTGATTCAGCTGTTGAATGGCATTTATTCAACAATCTCTATTCTTTCCAAATTGGCTTGTATCTTTACATTATGAGATTATCAGATCTGCTTTTGTTAATATTAAAACCGCAAGATGCCTCCCTTCTTAAAGGAGATAATTACTGGATTCCCCTCTGAGGGGTGAAATTATAGGCTTGTCTCTAACTTTCCATGGCAGTTGAGTGAGAGGCTTCTCAATTAGAGGAAGCAGCTGAGAGGCAGATTATCTTGATTATTTTCAAACTGGCTTCAGATTGGGCTAAGCCTGTTTTGGTCAGTCTAAAAGAGGACCTGAGACAGGTTTACATGTCTTGATCTTTTAGTAGTGATGTTTAGTAGTGATGTTCACAACCATTCAGAGAATGGCTATTATTACAACCCTGTATTTCTGTTCAATTTCATCTTATGTTGCTTGCAGACAGACGCTCCTTGAAATAGAGACAAATATATGGAATGTTTTATGACTTTATTTTTCTCCAGTGCTTTTCCATATGAAATTCCCTGGGAAATATCATCAAAAATGTGAGGCTGGGAGCCTAGGTTAAAACAGTTGGTACTGTGTGATTTATTGTATCTTGCAAACACAGCTGTAGTGTGCAACAGAAATATATATACCTGCAACTTAAATCTAAAAGTTTCTGCTTTCTGGGTAGTCTTCCACATATTTGAAGAGAATGATCATGTCTTCATAAATTTCACTTATTAATCATATTTATATGGCTGCCCATCTCACCAGAAGCAATTATTATATTAACTATTATAAAAACAATCATTATACAATATAGTAAGTCATATTAAAAATGAAAAACATTCCAGCATCTTCTGGATAGGGAGTGCCTGAGTCTTTCACATCTCTAGCCTCTTCTTCATGTTATACCTTGTCAGCTCCTTTTACATTTCCCCATAAAAATTCACTAGGAATTTTTATTAACCTGTAAAATTGGGTGTCAGAACCAGCCACAGTTCACCAGAAAAGCTGTGGATCTATTAAAAAAGAAATCTTGACTTAGCATGACTGGGAAATGCTAATAATGGAACTTAAAATTATGTTGGTCTTTTTTACCACCATGTCACATTGCTGACTCACTTAGGAAGTGATTACAATTCATGGGTAACATTTTCACATATTCTACTGTTGCCTATTTATGTATATTTTTCCTGACATTAAGAATACCTTTCTTTTCCATCCCTCCCAACTCTAAAGTCTACATTTCTATCCTCTTTCATCCCTACCTTCTGAATTATCCTTTATCCATTGGATATCACCTACAACATATTTAAAGAAAAAACCATGAGGTGCTTTTAAAAATTACTTTTATCTTGTTAGCCTTTTTAGCATTTCCAAAGAGAGGCATAATGTCAATTAACTAAAATACATAGGTTCTCACCCACATTTATTTAACATGTGTGCACGCCACACCTTGCCGACTTCCAATAAACTAAACAACTCATTCTCTTCTTTCTCCCCACCGCATATAAAACTGCAGTCTAAAGAAAAACCCTTCCTGATGTAGAAAACTGGCTTCCTGATCCAAATTAAATGTAGGGTTTTGCTGCTTAGAGGAAGGGTTCCGAATCCCATAAGGCAACTGGCATAATAAACAACCATACTTGCATTATTTTGTGCCCGTTTGTAAACGAGAAAGCTAGATGCCCCTTTGCCAAACCGGTGCCACTAGATGCGTTGGGACTATCCTTCCCATGACCCCCCAAAGAGGTTGCTGTCTGTCTTCATACTGAGGAAGGCTGCTCTAATGGGAAATTATTTTCCCCTGAGCAGCTTTGAAGGTGCGCTCAGAGAGCCTCCCATGGTGGAACAGACCCATCCAAACCAAAGCGAGCAAACCCCACCCTATCTCCCCCCCCCCCCCACTTCGAGCGGTTTGGAAGGAGGGCGGACGATGATCGTGACAAGCAACGGAGCGGGAGCTGCACTTCGCCATTCGGCCCATTGTCTCCCTTCCGCTTCTCTTGGCGCCCTCCATTCCCCCCCACTCCCGGACAGGGGCAAGCACAAGGGGCAAAAGAAAGGACGGTGGGGGCAATCACGGACCAAAATAAAGCGAGGAAGGAAATCCGTTAGGTCCGGAGACCTAGCGATCTCCTCCGCCCAGTCCAGTCGGCGGCCGGGGGACGATGGGCGGGGCCGTCTGAGACCCTTTCGCCACCTCTAGACTAGCCCGGCCAGGGTCCCGGCGCGGCGATAAGGCGCGGCGGAGCATGCAATGGGCCGAGGCGGGGAAGCTGCGCCCAGCAGTTGTCAGGCCCTCGACCAGCTACGGATGGAAGTAGCCCAGATATGCCGAATCAGCCCACCCACTCCCGGGGCTCGTCCTCATCACCTACCCCAGCTGTTCCTCTCCTTGCGGGTCTTGGCCATGGTTACTCCGCCCGGCGGCTACCTGCTGCCACTCGGATCCGCCGGGCTCGAGGAGGCGGCGGTGGCTGCCGCTGTTGCTAAGATGAAGAATGAAACCGCCGCCGCCGCCGCCGCCGCTGCCTGGCCAAGAAAGGCGTCTCTCAGCTCAGCATCTCCTGCGGGAGGGTGCAGGGAGTACACGAGACGCGTCCGGCGCAAACGCGGATCCGCAGGGAGAAGGGAGAGAAAGAGCGCGCCTACGACGGCGGGCCAGAGCTTGCTTCCCCAAGCACACGTGTCCGGCCGGGGCTCGGAAAACACTGCACTCCCTTCTAACCAGCCCGGCGCGCACCATCCGCACGACCTGATCGCGCTGCAGAGCACCTGCGGACGAGGACGCGCGCATCACGGGGCGCGGCACCAGTATGCGCCTGCCCACCGGTGTGGCGGAGTTCGGGCACACCCTGAGATGGGAATCGGTGCCCGCCACGCGCGGCCTGTTATTTTGGACCCGTGACTCTCGGACTGGCAGAGGGAAGAGTCTCAAGCCACGTGCGAAACTCACGTGTTTGTTCGGCCCGGCCGTTAATTTGTCTTTTGGACTAGGGTACGGAGATTGCATTGTTTTTATGCGCCTGGCACCGTCCGTGTGTGCGAGGAGTCGAGGACAGCCCTCGACAGATTACCAAGACGCAGGTCCCCACCCTAACAGTTTACAACCCGGTCCGGATACAAAGCAGCGAAGAAGGCCGTCAGAGCTGGAGAAAGCAGAAGAATAAGCATGGATGTCAGCGGCTGAGAATGTTGCAAGTTTTATTTCAATGGCTGGATTTTCTGTAAGAAGCTTCCCCCCCCCCCCCCCCAGGACAGTATTTTCTGGCTTTGCAGATATAAATTATAGGCAGAGATAGGATCTGTCCAGGCAGAGATGAGAAAAGAATTACAACTAGGATACACCCATGTTCAAAATCCTGAATGGTACCTGGACTATCAAGGAAGGTTCCTTCACGCTAAGCCCTCAAGGGTCCCCTTTGAAAGAAAAGCTTAATGGAACTACATCTACATGGAGGGAAGCAGTGGGATACCACAAGGTTCTGTCTTAGGACCAGGACTCTTCAAGATCTTCATAAATGACTTAGATTAGGGGAATAGAAGGGGAACTTCTCAAATTTTGCAGATGATACTGAACTGGAAAGAAGACCCAATACCCTAGAAGATAGGCTCAAGCTCCAAGATGGATCTTGACAGATTTGAACACTGGGCCCTATCTAACAAAATGAAATTCAATGTAGAGAAAAGTAAAGTCTTACACTTAGGCAAGAAAAACCAAAAGTACATACAGTATATAGACAGGGTGAAACCAGGCTTAATAATAGTAACTGTGAGAGGGATCTTGGAGTCTTACTGGACAACCAACAGTGTGCAGTGGCAAGCAAAAAAAGTCAATGCAATCCTAAATTGCATGAACTTTTTCATTCAATCATGATCATGTGAGGTACTAATACCACTCTATAAAGCCTTGGTAAGACCACAGCTAGAATACTGCATCCAGATTTGGTCACCATACTGTAAAAAGATGTTGAGACTCTAGAAAGAGTGCTGAAAAAAGCAACAAAGATGATTAGGGGACTGGAGACTGAAACATGATGAATGGTTACAAGAACTGGCTAGTTTAGTGAAGAGAAGGACCAGGGGAGACATGATAGCAGTGTTGTTAGGTATAACATTGATACCAAATATGGTTTGGGTGAATAAATAT